TTGGACTTTGCAGCCAAATAACTATATTTATTTATTAACAAAAGGATAACAGAAATATCTGCTCAAACAGCAATGAAGAACTATGGGGTTAAGTTCATCCCTGATTAACTCAATTGAAGTCAATTGAGTTTCACAAGACATTAGTCTGATCTCTAATATGTACTCTATTTAGGAAAAGGTTTTGCAACCAAGTATAGAAACCATTTAATTTTAAACTGAAACCTGATTACATACTCATGCATCTTTAACAGCTGCAAAGGAAAGAATACATGTCATCTTTATTTTGTTAATTTAGAAATAAATAAAATATACTGTAAGTGTTGGAGGTAATTAGTTAAGTGCTCAACTATTTAGTTTTTAAAACAAGACCATGCTTAAGTGCCTTAAGCATTTATTAATTGCATGGACCCAAAAATCCCCTATAGTAATTGAAAATTTAATTACACACATTTTTTGTTCTTGGAAGAATAGGAGCTTATTAAACTTTAAACACTTAAACATCTATTGAAATACCAATGACTATAAACAATGTGCAATTCTAAATACTAATTAAACAGCAAGGCTAAATCATTATGAAGCTAAACTGAATTTTAAGTAACTTTGTACTTATAAGTACTTCTTTTCTTTCACACATGCGTAAGATTTACCACTTCCTTGCTAATGCAGCATCCTTCAGTGACCTCAGCTCTTATTGTCTTTATTTGAGAACCTCACAGAATTGAGACTTTTGCTTCTATTTCTGTTTCAAATCCCATGCAAGTGGGTTGTGAATGAAAGTGGTTCGTAGCTGATTGGTGTGAGAGGATTTGCTGGTCTGCATGCAGTTTCCAATGGAAAGGGACTAGCCGTGACAACTGGCACTCCTATGGTCAGAACAGGGCAAAGGCTGAATGAGCCACTGAGTCCAAACTTTCCTCTCATTTTGGGGATCTTTCTACAGTGAGCACCTGCCTGGGTAAGCTCTAACAGTGGTGGTAACCCTGGGAGCACTAACATAGGGAATTTCCAGTGTCTTGAACACCGTTTTGTTATGCTGCTTAGAGCAAGTCTGCACAAGACCATGTTTAAAAAGCTGGCAGCTGCCTGATCCCTGTGCCTAGTAGTGCACTAGCTGTTGCTAACAGTAGCTGCGCTGAGTGGGTGGTAGTGATGCTGGAAAGCTCAAGCTAAAAACAAAGTTTATCCTGAGTCTGATTGTTTCTGTCTTTGACGCAACAAATCAGGGGAGCCGGTCTTTTATGCATACAGCTTGAAGGGCAGTTAACTCAAAGTAGCCCAAGTAGGAAGGAATCCAAGGTCTGTTTTTAGATTCAGACTCCATATTTTTCCCAGGGACTCTTCCAGGTATAACATCCCTCCAAGCAGTTGTTCAGGCCCAAATGTGCACGGATCTTGTGAAGACAAGCTCTCTAACCGCTCACTGACTAGGTGATCAGCTGTGGCCACAGCTGTGCTTTGAGTGTTCAAAAGAATGTAGGATTTCCAGCCCTTTTTAAAGCTAAAAATACCAGCATAAGCATTGATCTTCTGAAAGGAGCCCCTGTGGGCAAACCCACGCAGGTATAAGCATCTGGGGGAGCAAATCTACGTACAGAATCAGACTCTTAAGCCTGACCTTTGTTTAGTGGACGGGCAGTGTTGAAAACCTTTAAATGTATTACAATTAACCCTGTATAGATAAGTGCATGCTAATGTTGTGTTGTTGTCCTTCATGGGCAAAGATGACCACATCCAGTGTGGAGGGGGAGAGAGAAATGAAGTGGAAAAGAAAAAAAGAGGGAGAAAAGAGAGAAGAGAGGAAAAGGAGACAAAGAGAAAAGAAAGAGAAAAGAGGAGGGTGGGAGCTAGGTTGCGTGGGTACATGCTCATGCTAATGCTATAGATTAGTTTTTAAACGTATTGATAACATCCAGTGAATTTTAGGTGGCTTATGCATTGTTATAGTGTGACTGTGTATTTACGTAAGGCCCTGGCCAAACTTCCCAGAAGGCTGTGAGGCACACAAAGAATGAAAGTCTTAAAACACATTATCTTAGATAAGGAAGGAGGCTAATTTGCAGATGTGGGGGCGGGCACCGCTCAGTCTACAAAGCTCTAATGAATGGTAAGATCGGTGAAAAGGAAACTCCTCATTTGGATTTTTCCATGTGTGAAATCTTAACTGACATCCTCCAAGGACCTTTGAAGAACTGCTCTGGATTGCTTTTTAGAGGCTGCTAGAGCAAGAAAACCTCTCAAACTTTCCAGCATCTTTCTTAGACTAGACAAGTTAGATCCTTAAACACTCACTTTGGGTTCACAGTGCAAAATAGACCCAGCCCTGCTGGATTCTGTGACTCGGTAGAGGAGAAAAGAGGAGAAAAATACTGGTCAAGAAATATGTGTCTTGGGTTTTCTTATACTTCGTGTTCTTTCTGTTAATGTCCTAGTACTAGAAGTCCGTAGTGGACTGTGTGAACACTGTCCTTGTCATTTAATAAGCTAGCTAGCAAAGAGGTGAATTTGGCAGGGGTCACTGGTTAACAGCCCAGTAACCTACTGATAGAGCAAAACTAGCTGGTTTTACCTGCGGCTTGAGCATGAATCACTGCATGTAAAAATAAAATCTGTAGGCAATGACTCTCATCCCTCCTTTAGTCCTCAAGCGCTGATCCTGGGGAGTCATTTAGGAAAAATTGCAAGAGAACTACAATTTTAAGATTCTTTTCAAAACCCTGCATGCGAGAGACATGACCTTTCAGTCTGGTCTTCCAATATTTGCTTTGGTTTTTTCCATTCACTGAGAACAAAGTTCATCTTTCAGTAATAAGTAATAATATTACAGCTTATAAGTGTTTAATGCCTCCACCCTAATCTGTCTTAGCTTTCTCTTTATATACAGCTGGAAAAAAGATGATGCCTGATCATTTATGCAAAATGTGAAACAAAAATCCCATCTCCTATTCTAAGTAATTTTCTTATACGGAGAAAAAAGCACCTCTTCCCTTTATTCCGCTAGGTGGCTCTGCACTTGAAACAGTTGCAATGATAGAGCCTGGTTACTGGAAAGGTTTGAGAATAAACAGGAAAAGTGTCCCTTTGGGTGCATATCCTGTTTGATGTCTGTTGGGATTTCAAATAAGCTGTTGCTATGATCATTGGTAGCTCCGACTTGTCTGTGCACTCAGGATGGCTCGGTGCTGCAGAAGTCACTGCTGCAGAAGCTCCAGGGCAGGTGTCCAGCATGAAGTCAGAGGTGTGTGGGTTTGTTACCTGCAGATCCTGGCTTTCATCCCTTTGGCTGGACAAGCTCCCCTTCAGACATTCTGCTGCATTCATTTTCTCCTCCGCAAGGGACACTGAGACAGAGCAACTACCGTCTTGGAAACTGTGGTTCTGTCCTGTTGTTGTGCTTGTTGTGTATCTACAGTTGTTCACACTTTTCTGCCTGATTTTCAATGGTGAATATTTACAGTGGTGCAGACCTAATTTTGAAGTGTCACTAGCATGGCAACTCACTGAAAGCTCCTGTTGAAACTCAGGCTATTAATTTGTCCATGCAAATGCTATATTTGAATGTTGTCTTTAAAAATCAGGGCTTTAACCTCTATAGGCGATGGGCAGTCTTATGATTCTCGAAGACAGATTTCACTGTGATCTGAAAGCACTGTAAGCAGGATCACTTTGTTCAGCATATTATATTGACCAATAACGGAGGCATCCTTGCACCTCTGGGCTGGATCCAAACCATTGGGCTCTCACTGGGATTTTGGAAGGAATTCAGAATTCATGGCCCCTCTGGGAGCCCAGCAGGCCACACAAAACAGTTCTGCAGGCCAGATATAGCCCGCAGGCCATGTTTGACACCCCTGACCTGTCATACTTAATTGTTTTAAGCCACAAATATATCTACAGCTCACATTTAGATATCTTGCCATCGTCAGCAGAAACCGGTAAGAAAAGCATAGTTGCCTAAGTGTGAAGTCAGCAGTGTAGCCCCAAGTTCAAATTTCCAGTACTGTGTTCCCTATAACTTACTTTGGAGCTTTTTTTTTCTGGTGAGATCCTAAAAACTGAGGGATAGTTGACCCTGGACATTAAAGAACCAGCGATACTTCTCATAAGAGTAAGGGTTTGTCCCAAGGGCTTTGCCACAATTTCCTGTCTTTTTAGGGTGCTGTCTGCTGAGGGAAGCTGTGCTCCACCATAGAAATGGATGCAATCAAGTAATGTTGAAGGTACATGTATTGCACTGCATTTTGGAGATAAATGGCACCATCTATGTTCTTACATGGAATGAAGTCTGACAGCTACTCTGACCTTTCATGCGGGTCTGTGCTGAGGAGCTCTAATAAATGTGAAACCGATTCTGTATTTGAGTTTCAGGTATTTCTTTGGCTACCCCTGCTTTAGCAGCAATTCCAAAATGGTTTATTATAGGAGTGCATATCAACTCCAGGGTACATGCGTCTCCTGGACTCAAGACAGGAAACTTATTAGTATGAGTGTGCATTCACCTCTTTGAGATGTGAGAGTGGGCCTACCCTGCTCTTTCTCACCACTTCTCAGAGTCCTCTGCAGACATGGGATTCAGATTGCAAAAGAACTGAAGCAGAGTTACAGTGGCCTCTCCCTTTGTCCCCTGGCACAGGAGTGCAAAGAGGTATGGGGTGAATGCATAATCCTACTGGATACAGCTACTCTGAAAAGACACTGAGCTCGTGCAAATGGGGCACATATGTGTCTACAGTGGCATCCACGCTGACTACATAACTGAGTCTTCAACATGTTGGTATGGTAACAACCCTTTTTTTTCTATGAAAAGTCTTCTACCCATCCAGGATGCCTGTTAACATTCAAGAAAAATGAGGGAGAAACCATTTTATTTCTGGTTGTAGACTCTAGATTGTACAGTTTTTACATGCTGTTCTGTTAATTTCTGCAGGCTACATTTAGTTGTGCTTGATTGCTATAGAGAAGACATTATACATTTGAGTTAGAATTTTTGTCTTTTTTTGCAGGAGGAGATGCGGACAGAAGCCCGTCGAAAAAATCTTCTCATTCTCATTTTGCATTATTTAACAGAGGAAGGGTATGTTATCACCACTGTAATATTGCGTGTGTGTTTGTGTGTGTGTGTGCACGGCTACTTATATGATATGCACTTAAACCCTCTCCTGGATAGAAGAGGCTGGCCCTAATTGAGATGTTGCCCTGAAGCGGCTGCACTGTGTACAGAAGACATAAATCCTAATGCTACTAAATGACATGAACATTGACTTTTTAGATGCATTTTTTATATTTGTTCCAGAAAGAGCTGCTTAAAATATTTTTAAATGATGAGCTGAAACCACTCATTCAGCATAGTCACTGTGTTCCCAGCGCTGCTGAAGCCTTCCTCTCTGCCCAGGTATCCCCACTCAGCTCACCCATCACACCCTACTACATCAGTGGGCAGGTAGGTCTCAGGAGACTGTGTGTCTCTCTGACAGGGCACAGCACCATTCTTGTCTAAGGCTTCACTGGGTATCCTGACACCCAGCTTCCTACAGTTGGCCTTCCTTTCTGGAATGTCCTTTAGGACTTTCTCTCTGTCCTTGCTGGACTTATTTTCATCTCTTACAGTCTCTGATTCTCTGCTGTCTTTCCCCAATTCAGTCCCTTCTCCTCAACCTTCCCATATCCTTTGGGATAGGCCCTAAATAAACCTGGCCTTCTTTACAGCCTGTTTAGCCTTAGTCTGTTTTCCCCCAAGCCTAATTACTGTCCATTCCCTGAGCCAGTCCTTTCCAACAAGTTCTATTCCCCTCTGTCAGAGCACATCTGCCTCTCACTGCTGAGCCCCACTGTCCTCCCTCTGCTTTATATTCTACATAGGGCTTCCAGTTCCTTGTCTGTTTTATCTCTTTTATGCCTTTTCTTTCTTTCTTGTAACAGATACTAAAGGGGCCCTTTTACATTGGCAAGGATTTTTTTTCTAATTTGGTTTGTGCATGTTATAACATGTGACAGGCCCCAAAAGATTATTGAAAAGCATTTACTTACTAACCTCAGGAATGACAAGTTAGGTCTTTTGCTCTTGCTGGAGAGCTTCTGGTCCAGAGGTGTAACAGGCCAGCTCTGCACCCTGGGCAGCAGGCAAATTGGCAGTAGTAGTAGCTGCTCTTTTTGTGCACCCTCATGTTGGTGTCTGGAGCTGTCACCCTGATTATCCCCCCCCCTGAGCTACACTACTGTTCTGGTCTCAAGATGGGAATTGTGAGTCTTTATACCTTATCCAAAAGGGTCAGGTTTTGAATTTTTCACAAAGATCATCTTTTTCTCTCAGGTTCACCCAGATCAGGGTGGGCAAAATACAGCTCGCAGGCTGGATCCAGCCCGCCAAGGGATTTTGTCCAGCCTGCAGCAAATCTCTCAGTCCTACCCAGCCCAGGTGTGGGGGACAGCTGGTGCGAGGCATGTGCAGTCGGTCCCAGCACCCCTGGCTGCACAGCGGAGCTGGAGCAGCATGGCAGCCAGATTCACTTCCTGGCAGCCGCAGCAGCAGTGGCCACTTTCTGCTGCTGCTGCCAATCTCCACACTGCCAGACCCACTGCTACCTTCTGCTGCCAGTTTCTGTGGCTGCTGCAACCCAGCCCATCCACCCCACATCCATTGCTGGGTGTGCCAGACTGAGTGGGTGGGCAGGGTCTCCATGGAGATTGGGCAGGACCTGCATAGTCAGGGCATGTGGCAGGGTGGATGGGATGGGACTGAGGGCAGGCGAGGAGTGGTGTCCAGGAGTGGGACGGGCAGGTAAGGCTGGGATCATGAGGTGGTGACAACATGGGGCTGGTGCCCAGGGCAGAGCCGTGATCTGCTCCCTGCACACTTTTGCAACAGCCCCCGATTCTGCAGGCTGTACAGTTTTGGGGCAGGGGCATGCTGGGAGTGGTCCGTGGCTCTGCCTGGGCCCTGGCCTCAGGCTGTCACCACCCTGTGATCCTGGCCCTGGCCCTAGCCCTGTCTGCCCATCTGCTCCTGGATGCCACTCCCTGCTGCCCATGGACCCCTCCCCTCCACCTGAATGTGCACCCTGCCTGCATGGGTCCTGGCCAGTCTGGATTGCTGGTTGGTGACAGCATAGGGCTGGGGCCCAGGGCAGAGCCACAATCCACTTCCTGCACACCCTGCCCGTGGAACTGGTGCCCTT